TAAATTAATATAAATATAATCATAAATATAATTTGATTCATTATTTTTTTATTTATCTTATCTTCCGTCTTATTTTTTATTAACTTTATTATCTGCAAAAAAACTAACTTAAATCAAGAAAAAATATCCCCACTTGAATGCGGATTTAATCCATCATCTAGGGCTCGATTATCTTTTAGAACCTAATTTTTTATTATTAGACTAATCTTCTTAATTTTCGATATAGAAAATGCTCTTCTTCTTCCATTAATTTTTATCTCAATAAATTTTAATCCTTTTATTATTTCTTACTCATTTAGATTTCTATTCATTCTAATTATTGGCCTTTACATTGAATATAATGAATACTCCCTTGATTGAAAAATGTAATATAAATAAAAAATGAAAATTTTTCCCCCTTTTCCCCTCAACTAAACTAAACTTTTACTTCTCTCTTAACAAATTATAACAAATCTAATCAAAATTTTTTTTCTATTATCAAAAGGATATTAGTTAATATATAACATTTTAATTGCATTAAAAAATAATATTTACTATATATATCTTAAAATAATAGTTATTCTTATTTATAATCAATCCCCTAAAATCTTACTCCCTCCTCCTCAATATTCTACAGACACACTTTACAGCTAAAACCTATCCCATAATAATCATTTTTATAATTAATCCTATACCACTCTTTCATAATAATTCTTGAAGTAATATTTTACATTTTAACTTCGAATTAAACTATTGATTTAACTTTATAAATCTAAGAATTTTTTTTTATTATTATTCTACTTTAATCTCTTATTACAAATAAATAAATAAATAAATTTTATTTCTTCCATCCATTAACCTTAAAAATACTATTACTTATCCTATCATTAATCACACTTAATTTGTATGCATTCCCATATTCCCTTTCCTTTCAATCCTCTCCTTTATAATCCCCTCTTCCCCAATCATAACTGAAATCAGATAAGAGGTATATTATTGTTAATAATATCATTGAATATCTAACTTCTAATTGAAGTAAATAAAAATGGACTTCTAATTCATTATTTTATGGAAATTTTATCCATATTACATATTAAATATAGTTTAAAAAAAACATATTTTATTATAAAAATAATTTAATTTTTTAATTTATTTAAAAATTTTAAATAAAAATTTTCTTAATATGTTCAATATTATACTTTAATTATAAGCTATTTAAATATCTATTAGATAAATATAAACATTATTACTCTAAAATAAACAAAAATAAATACAAATATATATAACTTATAATGAATATAATTAAATTTTTTCCACATAAACTTTATAATAAAAATTTTTCTTACAAACTCTACTCAACTCTTATCAATATCTGAAATTCATACCCCATAAACATTAACCGGCTTATAAACCACTGTATATAGCCTTACTAAAAATCATATAGAACTAAAAAAATATATATAATAATATAACTTAAAAATTTTTCCTATTATAATTACTATTACTATTATTAAAATCCCAATCATACATCTTATTAAAGTAACTAATTTTTCTAATAAAGGTAGATAAACTATATAATAATCAAAATAAAAAATTCAATTAATTACAGATCCTACTATCACTCTTAATAACATTATAAAAACTATCGAAATATTAATTATTTTATCTTCCTTAATATACACATACCTATAAAATTTAAATCTTCTATTAAAAAATATATAATAAAAAAATCGCAATGAATATGATACTGTTAATGACAATGATATAATCATCAATATTAACATAAATAAATTTAATTTCCTCCTATAAATAATTTCTATAATTAAATCTTTTCTATAAAATCCAGCCATAAATGGTATCCCCCTCAAAGCTATTCTAGAAATTATTAACCTTATTATTACATAAGGAATTACCTCATTTAAGTTACCTAATAATCGAATATCTTGAGTATTCTTTATTAAATGAATAACTGCCCCAGCAGCCATAAATAATATAGATTTAAAAATCGCATGAACTAATAAATGATAATAAGCTATTATTCTATATCCAAATCTTAAAACTATCATTATTAAACCTAACTGCCTTAAAGTAGACAACGCAATAATTTTCTTAAAATCATTCTCAAAATTAGCTATAAGTCCTGATATAAATATTGTAAGAATAGAAATAAAACTTAAAATCACCCTAACTTCTGTCTCTATTAAAAAATTATTAAATCGAATTATTAAATATACCCCAGCAGTTACTAATGTAGATGAATGTACTAAAGCCGAGACAGGTGTAGGAGCAGCTATTGCCAAAGGTAGCCACACAGAAAATGGTATCTGAGCTCTTTTAGTAATCGCAGCTAACATAATTATCAATATTAACCCCAATCCCCTATTAAATATTACTAAATCCCACCTCCCAACTATCATTATTATCCTAATAGCTATTAAAATCCCTACATCCCCAATTCGGTTACATAAAACTGTAACTATCCCAGAATTATAAGATATATAATTATGATAATAAATTACTAAACAATAAGATACCATCCCTAAGCCATCTCACCCAATTAAAATCCTAACAACATTTGGCCTAATTACTATTAATAATATTGATAAAATAAATAATATTAATAAATAATTAAATCGATTTATATTCTTTTCCCCCCTTATATACGTAATTCTATATAATATAATTATTGAAGAAATTAATATAATAAAACTAATAAATAAAATAGAAATTCAATCAATTAATATAATAAATTTTAAATTTATTGAATTAAATCTATATACTAATCACTCTAATATTACTACTAAATCTAAATAATAAAGTCTTAATCTTATCCCCCTAAAAATAAAAAATACCCAAAATATATACATAAAAAATAATATATTTAAAATAATTTAAAACTTTTTAAAGTATCTTTAATCCCACAAATTAATATTTTTTATAAACTATTTAAATAAATTATTAACCTTTAACTCTATATATCTTAATATTTTTAATCTCTTATTTAATTTTAACTACTTACTAATTAGTCTAACAAGTTTCCCTCTCTATCCTTTAATAACAATCACTCTTCTAATCTATATCTACCCTTCAAATTATATAAATATAATTAAATTAAATAAATATATTAATAATACTAACTTTCATAATAAATTTTTTCCCATGATAAACATATGAAAATAAGTATAACGAATAAGCACTCCTAAAAAAACAAACCAATATTAAATACACTATTATTCTAATATTTCAATTTACAATTCTTATTAATATTAATATTTCTCCAATAAAATTTAATGATAAAAGAAAAGAAAAATTTATAATACAAAATAAAGATCACCATATAATAACTGTAGATAAATTTCTCACAATACCCTTATTTAAAAATAACAACCGTCTCCCCGATCGCTCATAATATAAATTTACTATATATAATATCCCTGAAGAACACAATCCATGAGAAATTATCATTACACATACCTTCCTAATATTTCTACTTTATAAAAAGTTATTAACCTACATAACATTAAATTTATATGAACTACGGATAAATAAACTACTATTCTTTTTATATCAATTTGAACTAAACACAAAATTCCCACAATAATTCTCTCAACAATTCTTATCCTAAAAATAATATATCCATATTTAACTCCAACTTTATAATATATCTCTATTAGTCGAATTAACACATACCTTCCTATTTTTAATAATACGCCAGCTAAAACTATTGATCTGTATACCGGGGTTTTAACATGGGCCTTAGGTAATCAAACATGAAATAAATAAATAGGTATTTTAATAAAAATGGCCATATAAATTATTAAAAATCCTCAAAAAGTAAAATTATAACTACCTATAATTCTCACTATTAACCTAAACTTCACAGTTATCCCATAAATACACACACACATATATATATATATATATA